GACAGTTAACTGAGCGGGACTGAGGACAGTATTAGCAACGAATACAGTAATATTATTAAAAATTTTTTTTTAAGAATAAAAAAGTCAATTAACAGTTAAATTACTGTCTCCGACAGTTAAATAACTGCTGGAGACAGTAATTTAGCAACGAATACAGTAATATTAATTAAAAATATTTTTTTAAGAATAAAAAAGTCAATTAACAGTTAAATTACTGTCTCCGACAGTTAAATAACTGCTGGAGACAGTAATTTAGCAACGAATACAGTAATATTAATTAAAATATTTTTGAAGAAAAAAAAAAAAAAAAAAACAGTCGATTAACAGTTAAATTACTGTCTCCGACAGTTAAATAGCTGCCGGAGACAGTAATTTAACAGCCAAGACAGTAAAATTAATTAAAATATTTTTTTTTAAGAAAAAAAAAAAAAAAAAAGTCAACGCCGGAAACCCGGCGGTCAACGGCCGTTGACCGACCGAAAAAAAATTTCAGGAAAACAAAATTCCAAAAAAAAAAAAAAAAAAAAAAAAAAAAAAAGTCAACGCCGGAATCTGGCCGGAAAAAATATTTCAGAAAAAAAATTATTTTCTGAAAAAAAAAAAGTTTTGGGGGTTAATGTGATATATTTGTTAAAATCCGGGGTCAATGTGTAATATTAAAGAAGTTAGAGCATAATCGGTGGAATTGATACGAATTAGGGTTAAAATTGGGGTCAAAATTGAAATTTGGGTTAAAATTGGTTAATTGATGAAATTGTGCTAAATTGGGGTGTAAATCATGAAATTGGAGTTAAATTGGGTTTCAAATGAATTGGGGGTAATTTTGGTATATATAAAGGGATTTTCCTTATTTGCAAATAAGTTTGAATGGGGTGGATTTATTTGAAAGACAAAAAAGTTGGATGTCCCTATTTTAATTAAGTGCCCTTGTCATGGGCCTATTTGCCATTACCCCTATAATAAATTCTATATTAACCAATATGTTTCTTGATTGGTCATCAACTTAGACTAAATTGAAAGAGTCGGCAATTGTATAAAACTGTGACTTAAATTGGGGCCAAGCGGATTCCGGGGACTGTGCATTCAACGTAAACAATCTCCCGTTTCTGGCACAACACACTGCAACGTTATGCCGCTTGAAATTTGTGCTCTCAACTCCGAATTCAAGCTCGTAATACTTCACCTTTTTCAACGAATCCTCTCTCAAATTCGATCGTATCAATTCGCCTTTTATATCCATGCTTTTTCCCGATTTGGTGATTTTCCGAACGACAGCTTCTCCCACCTCCTCAGCTCCTCCGAATGCCTCAATCCTGAAAATAATTTTTTTTTGTCGAATATCATGACGTATTATTCAACTTTACATAATGTCATAAAGGGGGCCGTGTGTGCATGCATATTTTTCAGAAACATGTATTGTTCTACGATTATGTGGAAATTACAACAAGATGAAAAAAAATAAAAGGTATGCTGCTTTCGCATTTGACGTTCGATGAATCGAATTTTTGGCAGTATGAGCCGATTAACCACTGCCAAAGAAGATAGATGATTCTTTTCTAGATTCATGAGAGCAATTTGGGAATACATTTTTTCTCAATACGAGATTTTATTTAAGATTAGGAATTATAAGAAATACAGTTTTCCGATTGGTATGTCAGTTATACACTTTCCAGTCATCATCCCAGTAATCTTGTTCAAAAGACGAAAATTTCATAGTCCCCTTACTGAAATTATATACTATCTATATCCCCATAATCAAATGCTCGTTTATGCTTGTCTTGCGTGGTAGTTGCGTGGTAGTGAGAAAAACACACACAAGAAAAAATAAATATACGAGCTTCGAATCTAATTCAAGTCCTGTTTATCTTTCTTTCTCTTGATGGCACCACATAATTTCATAGACTACAAATCAAATTATAGATACAAACGAGTGAAAACTGAAAACACTGATTTTATACAGAATTCGGGAAATTCATTATATTTCTACCTATCCATATCAAACTTTTACTCACTCTTCTGGACTACTACCGAATTTAAATTAGCCACTCCGACGGACATATTTACCCTTGCATAAAAGGACCAATTGTAGCTTAATAATTTAGAATGAAACGAAATACATTTGCCAATTACGCAGTTTCGAATCAATTATAATGCATTTCAAATAAATCATGAATGCGACGAATTAGAAGCGCTTACGAGAAATCAATGGAAACAGGTGACACAATAACACTAACGTTGAGCTCTCCGGTCGATCCTGGCGGGCCGAACGCCACCGCTGGCTCATTCAAACTCCTCCGCCGCCCTCCACCACCGCCCAGAGGAGGAGGATCCAGCGACCTCTCTGCCTTTCCGGCGGCTCTATACAACACCGTCTGATCCCCCAACCAATTCTCCGGGTATATAAACTCTATTTCCAAAATCGAAACCCTAATTTTTAATTATCGGAGAAAATAGTAACAACCAAAATGAAAAAAAAAAACCCAATTTATTCAGAGTAGCAGCAGCACTTACTGACCGAATCCTTCGTTTGTATCTATGTAGCGGCTGTATCCTCCGACAGGATAAAGAGCATCGAGCTTGAGATTCCGAGCAGCCTCCGGCGAGAAACCTAGAAGGAAGCTGGTTACGCCGACGAAATTGGCGCCGACGGCCAGTAGAGAAGCGGCGGAAACTCCGGTGAGGAGGCGGCGCCGGAATACGGACTGGAGCGAGCCGAATTGGTCGGGGGGCGGCGGGAGATTCTGTTTTCCGTCGTCGGAAGATTGGGTGGCGTATGTGCGGTGTGTGAAACTGGGTTTGGCCGTTAGGGAGAGATGTTGAGCGGCCATCAACATTTTTGGAATTAATGGGTGAGTTGGGAATTTGAATTTGGTGGCATTGTAATTGTAAAGAAGATGGTGTGTGGTTTGTTCTGGATTTGGGTATCCAGTAGTTCTGGACTGGTGGTTCATATTTCACTATACCATTATACCTCTAATATAAAAGTAAAGTATATTTAATATTTATGATTGAAAATAAAAAAATATGTAATATCCTATGCTGATACGGACACGGCGATACGGCATTTCTGAAAACTAGGATACGGACACGTGGGGGATACGCATAAATATAAAAATATAGTGGTATATTTATGAATTATAAAAAAAATAGTGGGACATTTATAAATTGTAAAAAAATATTTATAGTCGCCAAATCGCATAAGAGAACCGCTCACCCTTGCTGCTCGTGTTCTTGGTCGCCGTCATCGCTAGAGTTTTGAACTTTTGGGTGGACTCTCAACGTAGACGGAAGGAAATGTGTATTACAGAGAATAGAAAATAAATATTTTATTTTTATTACGGATTTCTCTTAAAACATATGAGCCGTGTCCCAACTTTTTTAAAATTACGGACACTGCCCGATATGGGTGTCCTACTTTTAGCGGAATTACGACACGGGTGTTCGAGCCGTGCCCGGGTGTGTCTGATTGTCCAGGTATCGGATACGGGGACTCTTCACCTTCTAAAAGTATCCGTGCAGCATAGGTAATATCTATTCCATATATATCAAAACAATACGTTCACAAACAAACCCGCGATTGCCGCTCCTTGACAATAGAGTATCGTTTCATCGTAGTGGGAATTTTGACACCCGAAAATTATGAGCTGATTGAATGAGCAGGAAAGCGGCGTTACAAAATATACACAGTGGTTTTTATGGTTTTCGCAATTTGTGTAAATTTCATATTATCGTGGGTTGATTACTTGGTAAATAATTTTAAAATGTATGCACATGTTTTGTTTGCTCGACCGTTATGTTGTTTATCCGAGCAAGAAAGTGACTTTGCAATTATACATAGTGGTTTTCATGTTTATACAACGATAGTAAATACTATTTTCTCACATGTCATATAGCTACTGTATGTTTCATATTATCATAATTGGATCATTTTTTTTTTCTCGTTAATAACATGAATGAAGAGATACAATATATAAATTTATATATATTTACAAAGTTTTACATCCTTTAATTTCTTCAATTATTGTTTGTGTAGTACATGAATTTCATTGTGACCATTGTGTTAAAGTTTAGAGGAATTGGTGCAATAGAGGATTCCAGGTGATTGTATCCCAACGCAACATGTGCAACCGATCGTAACATTGGTCGAACACTATAGTGCAGCCGTCGTTAGTGAACAACAAAGCGTTGTAAGCATGTAGCCAGACAACGACACGAGATTGTTGAGTGCGGAATGAGCTAACTTAATTAAACATAAATGCCAAGATTTTTCTGGTGGTGCTGAGGAGTTTATGAAGTCGTTTGTGAAGTTTTCGGTGGACATTACTTTTGAATATGTGTATTTGAAGACAACTGAATGTAGATTTAATGATGACAAGCAATGCACATGGAAGATACATGGGTTTGTAGACAGGTCTAATAATTACTTCTGCATTCGTAAATTCAACAACAATCATAGATGTGGCATATTTTTCGGAACTGCTAGTAAGAAGCGGTTACTTCAGATGTAATCATGGACCTTATTGATGGTTATATTTGAGCGATGTCGGCCATTACTCCTTGTCGAATTCAAGAATAGATAAATGAAAATTACGGGCTTGACATAACATATTATGTGTCGTGGAGATCTACCGATGGTGGGAGGGACAAGACTTTTGGCGATCATGGTCTTTCGTTCGTACCTCCAGGTGTATTTTCGAGAAGTTGAGCGTGCAAATCCAGGAAGTGTTTTCCATCTTGAAATCGATGAGGTGAAAAATATCTTTTGTCGATGTTTTTTTTCGTTTGTTGTTTGCTTAGAGGGCTTCAAAGTATGTCGTTCCATCGTTATGATTTGATTGATGGTACATTTTTTAAGGGTAAGCATGAAGGAATTCAACCAAGTATTGTGGGAAAAGATGGTGACGAAGGTAATTTTCATTGGTTGATCATTAGTAGTTAGTCATTATTTACAAGATTATGATATAAATATTACATTTCATGTAATGTACGTGCCGGTATATTCCCGATCGCGTTCGCAATTGTTAGTGAAGAGACAGACGACAACTGGGATTGGTTCTTATAACATTTTAAGGTTGCTACAGGGATGGACATAACGCTAGCCTTTTGATACAAAACCTATAAAACTTGTTACGAGACCCAATACCTTACGGTGAAGCAACATCGAAACATCCAAAAAAAACAAGGAATTAAAGGGGTGGAACGGCGACCCGTTGCTTATGAAGAAGCAAGAACCTGGATATGTGAAGACGCAATAATCGATTGTGAAAGATCGATTTATAAGTTGGGATGAACGCACGGAATCCTCCGATATGTTCTAAAAGTTCCTAAAGAAATAGAGAGAATAATCTCAAATATGCATTCAAATTTCGTCCATTCAAATAAGCCAAATCGGCAACATATTTATAAGACCTAAAAAGACTCATTTTTCATAAAGAAAATGACTCCTACCTAAACTATAATAAGGAAACTTATAAAAAGCAAATCATAACCATAAAAGAACTCTAAATTAATAAAAAAAAATAATAAAACCACAAAAACACAAATTAAAATAATATACTATAAAGCCTTCCCAAGCAGGCCCAACGTTATGCCTGCACCTAGGGATGAGTTCTGGATGGGATCTCGGGAATTCGGGATTTTTGGGGTCGGGATTTCGGGATTCGGGATAGAAATTTTAAATCCCAATCCCGTCCCATACTATTAAATCCCGGTATATCCGTATCCCTCGGGAATTCGAGATCGGGATCGAGAATCCCATATTTTGCCTAAAAACTAAGAAATATTGCATTTTTTTTCATCAGTATTATTTTTTACACTAAACCAACTTGAATATATTATATACATACTATTGTTCTTGCACTATTTATTTTTACCACAAAACTTGAAACAAATAAAATTTAAAAAATTTAAAAATAAGTTGAAACGATATATTGTATTGTATTTCTCATCTCCTTGACTATATATATATATATATATAGGGGTGAAAGTCGGATGGATCGGATCGGAATTAGCCTTTTCGGAAAATTTCCAAAAAAATTCGAAAGTACAAAATCAATTCCAATTCCAATTCAAAAATTTTCGGAATCTAAAAATTCATTCCAATTCCAGAAGGCCCGGAAATTTCGGAATTTCGGAAAAAAAATCGGAAATCACATAAGCTTTAAAATTTCAAAACGTAGCTGAAATTTTCTAAAATGTTCAGAATTTTTCGAAAAGAAGAACATCCACGTCGATAAAAGTAAAACTAATAACTACTAAATTTCAGTTCAAGAAAATAAATAAAAATAAACACTGCATAATATCCAATAAAACTTCTAACAACAATTCATTATGTCAAAATCCTAAAACAAAACTTAAAGGTGTATTTTTCGGAAAATAAGTATTATATAATATATACTATTTATAGGTGTATTTTTCGGAAAAAAATCGTAAGTTTTAGGAATTAATTTCGGAATTAAATCGTATCGGAAATCGGAAATTCCAAATTTATTTTATATAATTCCAATTCCAATCAAAAAAATCGGAAAATTTCGGAAATTGTAATTTCGGAAGTCGGAATGAAAAAAGTTGTTCCAAAATCGGAACATTTCGGATCGGAACCGGCAGAAATTGGAAAATCCGTTCCAACTTGCACCCCTATATATATATATATATATATATATATATATATATATATATATATATATATATATATATATATATATATATATATATATATATATCCTACTTTGTCAGCTTGCTTGTCTTCATTATTTTTTTGTTTCCATTCACGATGCCCTTTCAACTCTTACGCTTACAATCTACGGATTTCCAGCTCTAAAGCCAATTAAGGTGCTGCATTTTTCACTATTTTTTTTTTGTTTTCAAATTTTCCCTATGTTGAATCCTTCGAAAAATGGTAACAAATCCCTTTCCCCAACCGCCCATCTGCCTAAATTAAAGAAAAACAAACAAAGAGAGAAGCTGAGAGGAAACTTGTAAGTTTTTGCACACCATGTGTTCGATGAAATGCGTAGCTGAGTTTGTCTGTGTGGTTTGTTTCTAGAGTTGATTGGTTCTGAAAATTTTGGTTTCTTGATTGTGGCTTGCAAAAAGCATGGCGAGATTAGGGAGGATAATGGGGTGGCTTCAAATCATGTTGGGTGGGCTTGTAATTATCGCCAGCATATCGACATTATTCATGTTCTACTCTGCTGGTTTTTTCCTTCACAACGACGACATATGCCGGCATTTCTACGGCTCGAACAAGTTCAACAACGTTGTCAACTACGAAAACAACTTTGATCTCGCCGCACTCACTTCCCGTGTCGAGGAAGTGCTGAGCAAGTTGGAAACTCTTCAAGACAAGCTCGAATCCACCGTTCAAGAAATGGACAAGAACAAAGATAAACTCCACAGAAGCAACATTTCAAGATTGGAGTACAAGAGATTCTTGGAGATCGAGGTGATTAGGCCACTCTACAATGCCCACATTGCCCTCCGGCAAATTCGCCTGCCGAAAATCGATCCCAACAAAAACGAAACCCTCGTCGAGGACCCTCTAATCAACACTTTCGTAGTCGAAGAGATTCGGAAGTACATAACCCCCAAGGAGAACCGAGCGGGCAAGATCAACATATACGGTACGGAAAAAGTGTACAACACAATCGGTCACGCTTGCGTGACGATGAAAACCGAATTGGAGGAGTACATGGATTACGATGTCGGGTCGTACTGTAAAGACGATTGGATTTTCGGGCAAAAGCTCATGATTCGCGGGTGCGACCCGTTGCCTAGGAGAAGATGCTTGACTAGAGCCTCTAAACTCTACTTAAGGCCTTACTCGATAAACGAGTCCCTCTGGAGAATACCCGAAGGAAGAAACGTGAGGTGGAGCAATTATCAATGCAGAAACTTCGAGTGCTTGTCTAGCAAAAACACGAAAAGGGGTTACTCCAAGTGCACCGGTTGTTTCGAAATGGAAAAAGAAAAGCTCAAATGGGTAACGACCAACACTTCTTTACCGATCGATTTTTCAATTAAAGACGTATTAGCAGTAAAACCAGGGGAAGTAAGAATCGGGCTCGATTTCGGTATCGGAACGGGTACTTTCGCTGCAAGAATGAGGGAGGAGAATGTGACTATTGTATCCACGGCGTTGAATGTGGGGGCCCCGTTTAGTGAGACGATTGCTCTAAGGGGGTTGATTCCTCTGTACGTAACTTTGAACCAACGGCTGCCTTTCTTCGATAACTCGATGGATTTGATCCACACCGCTGGATTTATGGACGGTTGGATCGATTTGCAGTTGCTGGATTTCATATTGTTCGATTGGGATCGGGTTTTGAGGCCCGGTGGATTGCTGTGGGTCGATCGGTTCTTTTGTAAGCGGAAAGATTTGGATGATTACATGTACATGTTTTTGCAGTTCAGGTATAGAAAACATAAGTGGACAATTGCTGCCAAGTCTGACGACGAAGTCTTTCTCTCTGCATTGCTCGAGAAGCCTCCGAGATCTTTGTAATATTCCGAGATGAGTATAATTTTCCATATTTTTTTTTTAATTTGGTTTCGTTATAACTTATAGGTATAGATAGTGAGGACGTTTTGAATTCGTTTTCTTCTCTTGTATTCGAGGACTAATTAACTGCATATGTTTTGCATCTATATGTTTTGCAGAACAACATAACAAGTATAACAAGTATTTGATTTCTTTGATTATGTTAATGAGTTGTCCTTGAATATGAAATATTATGGTTCTTTGTGATGAATGCTTGAATGTTAAGCTTATGATTCCTTTTACCTAGGGGTACAACATTGTTGTTAAGAGATCACTCGTAGTGGCGAAGCTAGGATTTTATTACCGCGGGGTGGGGCAAATGTACATTAAAAATAACGTAAAAAAAAAGTTAATGACAATAATGATTGTTTTAAAAGTGGTGAGTGTAAGATTTTGTTACAGGGTAGGTTTAAATTTTCGGGAGTTCGAGCGCAGAGCCCTCGAAAAAAATTAGGATTTTGTTTTTTTTAGTGATAAAACCAGAAGATAGGAAAAGAAAAAAAAAACTTTTAGGACTTGTTTTGAATTAATTTGATTTTTTGGTGGACTAAATTAGAAAAATTAGGTGAACTAAATAAATATAAAGATATAATATAGTGGAATGTTTTTCAATTGAGAATGGAGTCGTCCTCAACCGATCTATTAAGTAAAGTATAGGGATAAACCGATCTATTACCACGAACAATAAGTTCAAAAACAAAATAATAATTTATTTCCAACGCTCAAGTTAGAGATCACTAGTATAATTAACATATTTTAAAGTTTAAACAAATAAAGGTATTGAGGTGTTTATAGTTAATGATTGGAGAATCTCTTTAGTAGCTTATGTGTAAAATTCATTCATTTACTTTTTGAGTTTTCACTATGGTTGACTATGGTTTCATTTTACCCAACGATTAATTCATTTTCGACCTATAAAATAGGTTGATAGTCAACCACTAACCACCGCCGGCTGATTTAAGTTGGGTTGACCACTGATACTGTCTAATCAATCCATTTATAGTTGAATCGGTTGTTAGATGGTAATATGCTAAAAGTCTGTTGGGGTCGGATAGTTAAGGCGAACAAACTTTATATATTTATTATTTATTTTCTTTGCTTCATTAGTATTTTTATTTTAGTTTCAAATTCATATTTAATTCTCATTTTCTTTTTAAAACAAATCCAGAATATATTAGGTACTCACGGCCAAACGAGAAGGTAAGAAAGTCCCTTCAACGTAGTCTGAAACATGCAAGGACGCTAAATTGTGAGCAAGACAATTGTCATGTCTCTTAATTCTCATTTATTATTATAGTATTTTGGAATTTTTTATTTTTATTTTTGGTATATTGACAGTTTATGTTAGTTCTAAGACATATGGTATGGGATATTTGTTTTTTTTTTTTTTTTTCTAAATTGTAATATTGTTCAAGTATCTATCTTTAATTGCAACGGTCTGCAATATTTTTTGATTTTTTATTCTAATATATTCTACCGTGAGATCCCAAGAACACGACTTATATGAGATACCCCTTTAGAATGCGATACGTGTCAATGCGACACGTGTTCCAGCAATACAACCTAGAATATTAGGTGTAATTTGTAAAGGGTTGGGGGTGATTTTGTACATGAATATTTGCTTTAATTATAATAAATATTAAAGGGATGTGCTTATTGATGAAAGATATATAGTCTCTAAACCTAGAATAATAAAAATGGTTGGTTATGGCTTATGCACAAATACCCCTATTATTTTTCCGGTGTACGAAAGCTAAATGAGATTGTACAATGAAAAATTACAAAGATAGTTCCCAATAGAAAATTAATTAAAAGAGGGGGAGTAAAATTAACAACTGTTGACATAAATAAATGCATGGTCTAATGAAAAACATGGCTCACGAATTCGACTCATCAAATGAAAATTAAAGCTGGCTTTGCTCACAAATAGAATGGCATGAAAACTCAATTCATTTAATCAAAACTCAAAATTACCCTTAATCCCCTAACTAAATTTCTAATTGTAATTAGGGGTGTAAACGAGCCGAGCCGACTCGTGAGCTCGAAGAGCCGGCTCGTAAAAAGCTCGAACTCGAACTCGAGATTTTCGAGCTCGAGCTCGAGCTCCCGAGCTCGAGCTTTTTGATGAGCCGAGCTCGAGCTGGTTTTCAGTTGTTCATGAGCTCGCGAGCCGGCTCGCGAGCCGGATTTATTATTATTATTTTTTATTTTTTATATGTTATTTTTATTTAAATAATGTATAATAATGTAAAATATTATAGAAATAAATACAAATATTAAAAATATATATAATTACAATTTAGTTTTTATTTTTTATTTTTTTAAATAATTTTTAATAATAAAATAATAATTAAAAAAATATTTAAAATGACAAAAAAAAAAAAAAAAAGACAATGGGCTCGAGCTCGACAAAATATACTCGAGCTCGAGCTCGAGCCAGCCAAAAGAGGCGAGCTCGGCTCGAGCTCGACTCGTTTACACCCCTAATTGTAATCATACTATAACTTTAATTAAATTAATTTAGACAATTAAAATTTGTTTTTGACCTTTTTATTTTAACGTTTTTTTTAGGTCATTTGTTTTCCGCCGCTGGAGATCGGCGTTGATTTTTTTTCCCCTGTCACAGTTGCTGCTGACTGCGCCCCTCGTTGACCACAAACTCTATATTGGTATAATATTGTCTAATTCGAGTCAAACTCAACTGGTTTGCTCTGAGGTTTTCCCAAATGGCCTCATACCGATAGAGTTGTTATCCTCTCGTTATAAATACATGATCATTCCCGTATTAAACCAATATGAGACTATATTTGCAGCTCAACAATCCCCCGTCGAACAAAGAACCAGATAGGTTGGACCATAAAGGACCATGGAATCTTCCCTAAATTTTGCGCCTTGAGGCTCACAACATCTTTGTTCGGCCCACCGAGTCTCGAACAAAGGAACACCGAACCTTCCATCTGGAGCTCTTCGAGCTGCCTGCCATTTGCGCACCGGGAGCACACCATATTTGTTCAACACCAAGATTCCAGCAATTTTGACAACATGGTTAAGGTTGGGCCATGATGGTTATGGTTGGGCCGTGACTCTGATACCACTGTCAGGGGTCACGTGATAGCACAACCTCCACATTATATGATCTTGTCTAATATGGGTCAATCTAAGTAGTTTTGCTCTTGAGTTTTTCTAAAAGATCTCATGCCAGTAGAGTTGTTGTGACAATAATATTATTGTGGTTGACAGTAAAATTACTGTAAACACATTAATATTGTCAACTACATCAATGTTATTACTTTTTTGAATTTTTTATTTTGTTTGCTTGTTGACCAGTAAACGTAATAAAATTATGGGTAAATTACAAACACCCCCCTGAGGTATGGTCAAATTACAAAAAGCCCCTCTTGTTTGGATAATTACATCTACCCCCCTCAACTATGATTTTTTCTTACCTTTATGGTGCCAAATTCAACATAGTCATCTAGATTCCGTGAAATGTGCTCTAGTTTGTACTCTTTGTGTAAAAAATACAGTTTCCGATGCACCACAAACTGATATATACAAGCTAAAAATCACATATTATGGTCATCTTGCTTCATAATGTAGAGTTTGAATGGGATAAAACGGGTACAAAAGTGATAATATTCCATATAATCTCGAAGATTCCACTAAATTTGATGAGTTGAGGGGGGTGGTTGTAATTATCCAAACAAGAGGGGTGTTTTTGTAATTTGGTCATACCTCAGGGGGGTGTTTGTAATTTACCCTAAAATTATTGTCTTGTATTATAATAATATTGTGGTTGATAGTCATATTACTGTCAATCTTACTAATATTATTGTGGTCGACAGTAATAGTACTCTCAACCACAACAATATTAATCTTTTAGTTTTTTTTTTTTTTTTTTTTTGTTTAATTTGCTTTATTGAAGGGCTAACATAATAATATTAGTAGTGTAATTTTGACTGTAGTTGACAGTCATATTAGTTATTATGAGTAAACTGCAAAAACTACCCCTGTGTAATCTCGAAATAGCAAAAACCCCCCTGTGATAAATAAACTAGCAAAAACCTCCCCTGTGAATTATTTAAATAGCAAAAACCCCCCTATGGAACTATTTGAGGGTTGACTTGGTATAAAAAGACACAAATACCCCTGGAGTCTTGCAATTAATAAATTCTTATATTTTATAAATATTTTAATTATTTTATTTGAAAAATAATCAATTTAGTTGTTTACTATTTTTTTTAATTTCTAAACAAATAAATTAAAAAGAAAAAATATACATATAATATGTATATATATAAATACATTTTGAGGGACAATTTTGTCATTTCAAGTCTAAAAAATCAGCTAGGGGGGATTATGCCTTTGACTAAATTTCACAGGGGGATTTTTGCTAGTTTATTTATCACAGGGGGGTTTTTGCTATTTCGAGATAACACAGGGGTAGTATTTGCAGTTTACTCTAGTTATTATTGTTAACCTCACTAATGTTATGGTGGTTGACATTAATAATACTGTCACCAAGACAATATTAATTTTTTAGCTTTTTATTTTGTTTGTCTTTGTTGACTGGTCAATACAATAATATTAATATTAGCGTATATGATTAATATTATTTATTATATTAAATTATTCTTGTAGATATGTCTTGTATAATCTTGGCAGATATATCTCTTAGTTACTTTGTGTAATAGGTTAAGGTTTTCTACATGTTACTATATATATCAATAATATATATCAATAATATACGTCAGAGACCTAATTCTCTTTTTCTTCAATTCTATTCTTCATATAATTAATGTGCTACACAATGTAACACAGTGATTTTGTTGTGTTAATATTATTGTGCTAGATAGTAATATATTAATATTATTGTGTTAAACAGTAATATAGTTAATTTCACTATCAATCACAATAATTAGTTGTTTCTAGCGTGGCCAAAATGTTCTGAAAAAAAAAAATTAATTAACGCCGTTGGTGACTAGCATTGACCACCGGTGAGCAACAACATAAATGATCTAATGAAAAACATGGCTCAATAATTCAACTCATTTAATGGAAATTAAAGCTAGCTTTGCTCCCAAATAGAATGGCAAGAAAACCCAATTCGTAATAAGAAATTAAAGTAGGTTTTATAGTTTAATAATAAGCATACGTGCATCAACACAGTCCATTCATTTCAAA